CATGGTGAGAAGGATACTTAGCAACCAACCAAGTCTTGAACACATATCACAAAGAGAGAACATCTTTCACACAAGATGTAAAATTCAAGAAAATCATTGTTCTCTCATTGTTGATAGTGGGTCTTGTTGCAATTGTTGTAGCACAAGGTTGGTTGAGAAGTTGAAACTTGATATTATACCCCATCCAAAACCTTATAAACTTCATTGGCTAAATGAAGATGGGGATATAATAGTCAAGAATCAAGTGAAGTTGGCATTTTCCATTGGGAACTTCAAAGATGAAGTTTTATGTGATATAGTTCCCATGGAAGCATGTCATGTGTTATTGGGGAGACCATGGCAATTTGATCATCAAACTATCCATCATGGTCTAACCAATACCATCACTATCCATCAAAAGGACAAGAAGTTTGTGCTTCATCCTTTGACTCCTACCCAAGTGGCTAAGGATCAAGCACAAATGAAGATTTTAAGAAAGCAAGAACATGATCAAAAGAAAAAGTCAAAAAGAAAGGGAGGTATAGAAACAAGTGTGCCACCTAAGGTCACTCAACATGAAGTCCTTTTAAACAAAAAGACTTTAATCAATACACTTCAAGTTGAGCAACCTTCATATCTTCTTCTTTGTCAAGGAACACTTACATGCACATCTAGTGATTCAAAGACTTCAACTCTTTCTCCATCCATTCAAAAACTTTTGAAAGAATTTGATGATCTATTCCCACAAGAAATTCCAAAAGGGCTTCCACCCATAAGAGGAATTGAACATCAAATTGATTTCATTCCAGGGGCAGTTCTTCCTAACAGGCCAGCCTATAGGACAAATCCCCAAGAAAACTAAGGAGATTGAGACACAAGTCCAAGAGTTGCTAGATAAAGGCTTAGTTCAAAAGAGTCTAAGTCCATGTGCTGTACCAGTGTTGCTTGTACGCATGTGTTGTGATGTAGAGCTATCAACAACATCACAATCAAGTATAGACATCCCATTCCTAGGCTTGATGATATGTTGGATGAATTGCATGGAGCACAAATATTTTCAAAGGTAGATTTAAAAAGTGGCTATCACCAAATAAGAATTAAGGAAGGTGATGAATGGAAAACTGCCTTTAAGACCAAGTTTGGATTATATGAATGGCTAGTTATGCCTTTTGGTCTTACAAATGCTCCAAGCACATTCATGAGACTTATGAATCATGTCCTTAGGGATTGCATTGGGAAGTTTGTAGTTGTTTACTTTGATGACATCTTGGTATATAGTCAAAATTTGCAAACTCATGAAAAACATTTGAGAGTTGTTTTTAACAATTCTTAGAACACACAAATTGTTTGCAAACTTTGACAAGTGTACCTTTTGTGTTGATAGTGTCATATTTCTTGGATTTGTGGTCACCAAAAATGGGGTTCATGTGGACCCAGAAAAAATAAAGGCCATCCAAGATTGGCCTCCTCCAAAGAATGTAGGAGAAGTAAGGAGCTTCCATGGGTTGGCAAGCTTTTAAGAAGATTTGTTCCTAACTTCTCTAGTCTTGCTTCACCCCTCAATGAGTTGGTGAAAAAAGATGTTACATTCCATTGGGGGGATAAACAACAAAAGCTTTTGAGCTACTCAAAGAGAAGCTCACAAAAGCACCCATTCTAGCTTTGCCAAATTTTTCCAAAACTTTTGAGCTAGAATGTGATGCTTCAGGATTTGGCATAGGTGCAGTATTATTACAAGAAGGACACCCAATTGCATACTTTAGTGAAAAACTTCATGGTGCCTCTTGTAATTATCCCCCACCTATGACAAAGAACTCTATGCACTTGTGAGGGCTCTTCAAACTTGGGAACATTACTTGTTGCCAAGGAGTTTATCATTCAGTGATCATGAATCACTTAAGTATTTGAAGAGTCAACACAAGTTACAAAGAGGCATGCTAAGTGGTTGGAATTCATTGACAATTCACTTATGTTATTAAATACAAGAAAGGAAAATCCAATGTGGTGGCTGATGCTTTGTCAAGAAAAATTAATCTATTAGCACATTTGGAGCTCAAATTCTTGGATTTAATAACATTCTTGAATATAATTCACAGATCTTGATTTTGCTCATATCTATGAGGAATGTCTCAATAAGCCTCAAGGAGGATTCTATGTGAAAGAGGGGTATCTTTTTAAAGAAGGAAAAATTTGCATTCCCCAAGGTTCACATAGAAAACTCCTTGTTAAAGAGACACATGAGGGAGGATTAATGGGACATTTTGGGGTAGAAAAGACCCTTGGCATGTTGAAAGAAAAATTCTTTTGGCCTCACATGAGAAGGGATGTTCAAAGGCATTGCTTTAAGTGTATAACTTGTTTAGAAGCTAAATCTAAATCAATGCCTCATGGACTTTATACTCCTTTGAATGTTGCTTCCACCCCTTGGGAAGAGATAAGTATGGATTTGTGTTAGGTCTTCCCAAAACTTCTAGGGGTTTTGATTCTATCTTTGTGGTGGTAGATAGGTTTAGCAAAATGGCTCATTTATTACCTTGCCACAAAGTAGATGATGCAAGCAACATTGCAAAGTTATTCTTTAGAGATGTGGTTAAACTTCATGGTCTACCTAAGGTAATAGTTTCGGATAGAGATACAAAATTTCTTAGTCACTTTTGGAGGACCTTATGGTCTAGATTAGGGACTAAGTTATCTTTTTCTACTACTTGCCATCCTCAAACAGATGGTCAAACTGAGGTAGTAAATAGATCTCTTTCCACTTTACTAAGGGTAGTTCTAAAAGGTAATCACAAATCTTGGGATGAGTATCTTCCTCATGTTGAGTTTGCCTACAATAGAGTAGTTCATGGAACTACTAAATTGTCTCCTTTTGAAATTGTTTATGGTTTTAATCCTTTGACACCCATGGATTTAATACCCCTTCCAAATTCTGATTTTGTTCATCAAGATGGGGTATCTAAATCTAAATTTATTAAAGATTTACATCAAAGGGTTAAAATTCAAATTCAACAACAAAATGAGAAAATGCCAAGAAACATAATAAGGGCAAGAAAGAGTTAATCTTCAATGAAGGAGATTTAGTTTGGATCATCTTAGAAAGGAAAGATTTCCTCAACTAAGAAAGTCCAAACTCAATCCTAGAGGAGATGGACCCTTTAGAGTGATCAGGAGGATTAATAACAATGCATATCAACTTGATCTTCCTCCTGAATATGGTGTTCATGCTACCTTCAATGTATCTGATCTTAAACCTTTTGCAGGATTTGATAGTGAAGATGAAGATCTTTTGGATTTGAGGGCAAATCCTTCTCAAGAGGGAGGGGATGATACAAGAAGGTCTAACACCATAGGACCCATCACAAGAGGAATGGCCAAAAAGCTCCAAGATGAATATTCTCCTCAAGGTCAAGTACTATTTGCTATCTTTGGATGGAAAATTGGAGAACAAGAAGATATGCCAAATCTGCCAAAACATGGAGAAGGGTAAAAAGGACATTTCTATACAAAAGGGGTGTACTTATCCTTCTATGGGGCTGCATGAGTAATTGTTTTTCTTCACATAAAACTTGATTTTCACGTGTTTTAGACGCTATACATGTAGCACATGGGTTCAGATCTGCCACGTGAAAGTTGAGTGCTTAGAGCCTTGAGATTAATCTATAAAATCTCATAGGAAAAGCTTGTAAATCACTTTTGGATTGTATTAAAGAATTTCTGCTGAAATGCATAGCAAATTCCTTCTCCAAGAGTCACTTCTTAGCTTGATTTCCATTGCAACTTCCTTCCACTCTAGGAAGCCTTCTGAGTTGTGAATCACCTCTCCAAGCTAGCCTCCATATCCATTCACCTTAAACTCCAAACATCCGCTGCTTCACATCCAAAACTCTTCATCAATCTGCTCACAAAACTCCAAGTCTGCAGCTGCCCATGCTACTGTTCCATTGGTTTCCGCAAGCTGTTCAAGCCTCCCTGCACCTCCAATCTCACGGATCTGCTTCTCCACATCTCCTAGGATGTATCACCATAAAAATGGCGCTCAACGGTAATTACCGTTGAGCGGTAAGTGCGTGTCTTCTATTTTTGCCTCTCAGTTGAAGTTTTGCCCCTTAGCGGTGATTTTGACACTTCAAAATTGGCGCTCAGCACTAATTTCCGCTCAGCCCAACTTTTTCTGCACTCTGGTTGACTTTTCTGCATTTTGGTTGACTGGTTGATTTTTCTGGTTGATTGCTTGACTTTTCTGGTTTATGGTTGACTTTTCTGGTTTCTGGTTGACTTTTCTGCATTACAACCATTCGGTACTTTAACTCTTCTTTCAAATCAATCCAATAACCTACAAAATCAAAGGAATCTAGCATAAAACCATTAAATTGAACTTCAACTCTCTTATTCACAAAACTAAAGCAAAAACACGAGTTTAAACAAGTTTATAAGTCAAAAATGGTTGATTTATTATCAAAATTAAGTATAAAAATAACGGTTTTTCAACCGTTATCACAACCCCGAACTTATAACTTTGCTTGTCCTCAAGCAAACAAGATGTAACTTAGCTTTCAACCAATCAATGCAATGATTCAACACATTTCAAAACCTTTTCTTTTAAGAGAAGTAATTGCTCATATCAGCTTATCATAAAGAATATCAGTCAAGATGAATACATGCCTTGATTCAATTAACCTCATTGTGGTGCTCAGATAATCACAAAATATTCAACAGATGCTATGCTCATGAATGATCAATTAATCAAGCAAAGATGTAATCATGGAATCTTTCCTCATCAGATAATGTGTTTCACTCAAACACACAAGTGTATAAGAGGACACTCACTCACTCCACTATTACTTTGTCACATGAATTAACTTTGTCTTTCACTTAACCATAATTAAATATACTTACAAGCAATTATCATTACAAGTTCTTTTCTATGGCTTGTAATATGGCTGGGCTAAGAAGAAAAATTGGTTTTTCTGGATCACAAAATCCTTGAGTTAAGAGAGTCATTCATACTTTCCTCATTTAAACACAACCGTTCTTACTTATTCCCAACTTTCCCTTGCATTGATCTTTTCTTTTCTTTCTTTTCTTTCCTTTTTCTTTTGCTTTTCACGTGCTTAGCTCTTAGCTCAATGCTTATTATTTTCCTATTCTAGACTTCCCAACAACCCCAAACTTGAACCTTTATCAATACCACAAAATATTTTCAACTCAACTCAAGGTAAAAATTTTCACAAAGGGTTTTCAAATCATGTTCAAGGCTAAAGGTTCAAAGGATAGAACATATAGTGCTCTCTTTTAGTGGGCTAAAATCATTCATTTTGGCTAAAAAGGGTTAACAACAAATGGCCTTGATCATATGACACATACAAGCAAGTAATTCAATCATAGAAAACCTGGACAAAGTAATTCATGCTTTCAAAGTAATAGCACTCACTCACAAAAACTTTGGAGTTCAACCCTCACATAGGTTAACTCAAATTCCAACATTTAGATAAACATCCTGCTCAGTATCATAATCACAATCACAAGTCACCATGCATCTGTTTCAAAGTATTTTAAGCAACCACCTGTGTATACACATCATGCATCATCTCAACATCAATAAATATAATTAAGATCATGAATCAATACTCATCACAAACATCATAACATCAACAAACCATTGCACACAGATAAAGTTTTAAGCCAAGTACATCAAACCCTATTCTAAAAACAGAAGCAAATAAATTCAATAATATAAAACAAAAGATAAGAAAAATCCCGCTCTAGTGCTGATAGCATCCATCTGTACATGCTATCTCAGCTCCTAAGCAGCTCATGCTATAATGAGAGTCTTCCTCCTCTCCTTCTTCATGGATCCTTTAGTCTTGATTTTTTTGCCCGATGAGGAGGCTATCCATCCCTACATCAAACATAATTCACAAAACCACAAGACACATTGTTACCTAAAACACTCCTTATCTTAGAATGCTCTAGGAATATGAAGAAATCAGCCCCTAACAGCAATGCTCTCACCAAACCCCAAACTTGGATGGAAACTTGAAGCAAAAATGGTTGAAAGAGAAGTTTTGTGGGAAAGGAGGAAAAAGTGAAGAACTCTTTGGAGAGTGCTTGAGAGTGTGTGGGAGGAGTGAGATTTGAAAGTGCCTACCAAAACGCGCCCTAGGGTATGAAAAAAAAAACCTAATGAGCCAAATCACGCTGAGCCCAATTAAAACAAAACAGTGAGCCCATTCTGTAGCGTTTACGCTCAGCGGTAATTACCGCTGAGCGGCATTTGCGGCACCAACTCTTCTTCTTCCTAGCTTGCCCTAGGTGTCCTTTACCAATGCTTCTCACTACCACAATGGATTTAGTTTCTCACATCACTCAAACATTGAATCTCTATCATGCAACTAAAACAGAATCAAAACAAACTACAAAAATAAAGTCAATCAACTGGGTTGCCTCCCAGCAAGCCCTCTTTTAACGTCACTAGCTTGACCCAATAAAGCTCAAGTTCCATCTTCTTTTTTCTTCTTTTTGCTGAACTTCTTCAGAAATTTGATAAAACCAGGAACCTGTTTCAATGTGTCAATCATAGGAACTTTAATCTCCAACTTCTTGAAGATTTCCATAAAGCGCTCTAACTCCTTCTCCTTCCTATGATACTTCTTTGGATGAGGACGGGGTTTTTCATATGATTCTTTCTTTTTTTCTCTTGTCCTCTTTTTATTTTCCCTCACTTTCTTTATCTTCAAACAAATTTTCTTTTCTCTCACTTTCTTTTTTTCTTCTTTTTTTCCACTCACTTTCTTAATCTTCAAACAAAGTTTCTTTCTCTCTTCTCTCTCAACCACTTCTCTTTCTTTTTCTACATCTTTATCTTTCTTACTCATCTCTTCTTTTTCTTTTCTCTCTATCTCTTTCTCATCTAAAGTCTTTTCACTTCCAAATATCATGGCTTGACATTCCTCCCTAGGGTTAACTTTAGTTTCAACCCCAAAATCTTCCAATCTCTCAATGAAGTGACCAATCTGCATCTCCATCCTTTTACATGATGCTTCAATGCTTTTCTGAGTGGAGATGGACTCTTGCATAAATTGTTGAAAGACGTCATCCAGATTTGCCATTGATAGAGAGCTTTGTTGTTGTCATTGTTGTTGTGGTTGGTTCTCAAATTGTCCAGTAGCTTGCCAAAATTTACTTTGATCCATGCTTGAGTGAGATTCCCTCCAATGGTTGAAATTACTTTGGTGGAATTGACTGCCCATATATTTAAATTCTTGTCCGTATTGCATCCTGCAAGCATTAGGCACAAAACCCTAGAAAATATTTGTTAGCAAAAAAAAAATATAAAAGATAAACTAAAAACATAAAAATATAAAATGATAAAAAGATAAAACAAAAAGATAAAAAGATAACAATCAAGTCAAATTTAATCAATAATCACACCAATAAAATAGTTAAACCACGAGTCTCTAGCAACGACGCCAAAAACTTGTTAACCCTTGACAAGTGTAACCGAATCGTATCAAGTAATAAAATTGGTAAGACCAAGTAGCATTTCCGAAAGGACTCACGACCTAAACAATTATGTGATTTGTTGATTATCTTAGACTTGTAACCGAAAATATTGTTGTTGAACTATGCAAAAATAAACATGAATGCAAGGTTGATCAATGGACTTGATTAATGCAAAAACATTTGATTGATATTATGAATGATTATGTTGTTGGGGTTTACCAATTCATCCTATCCACTCTCATGTATTCAAGATTTCTTCTTTCTTCATTAATGTTAATGCCACTTTCTAATTTACCTTAAACCCTATGTCTTGTTGAAGAAAGCCTACTCATAATCACTAGTTTACAATGTCATGTCTCCCTAGCAATTATTCATGCATTATTAGCACAGAAGCTTAAAGGCAACCAACCATCATATTCCTATGTCTAGGTTTATACTACTATTGGGACAATTTCTTCATGTCTAGATATATCTATATGTCTCCATACAAATAACATCAACGATCATGCAATTGGATGAGTTAAACAAAGCATGCATAAAGTATAGAAGAAAAACCCTAACAATTAATGAAAGAAAACATATATTATAAAGAATCAATTCAATACATGAGAGCTTCAAAGGATTACAATGGTTCCCCAAAAACAATGAAGGTTTAGTTCAACATATATTCTTCAACCGATCGGTTCAAGTTCTTCACCTCCTTCTACCGTTAGGTTTCAGCCCTGATTTCCTTCTACAGTTCGGTTTGAGTTTGACACCATTCGGTATTCAGCTTGTGTTCGACCAGTGTTAGTGACTGTTCGGTATTATTGAGTTTCGCCAATGTTCAACTTCGTTCGGTCCTGAACTGTGTTCAGCCAGTGTTCACCCTGTGTTCCGTCTTGAACTGCTATATACTGCCAAGCCTTCAACTACTACATACCTTTCGGTCTTTGACTGATAATAACCGTTCGGCTGTTGACATATAGGTATCGTTCGGTCTTCTAATTGTGTTCGACCATGAACAGTATTCGGTCT